GGATGAGTGTCTTTCTAGTTCTTAAACTGTAAGAAACTGCGATGAAAAAGGAGGGCAGGCAATCCAAAAAAAAATGGAAAAAATCAAAGGTTTTTGAGTTATGTACCTCATAGGAAAACTTGCAAAACCCCTCTGCCACAGTGTGAGTATTGGGTATACCCAGGAGGGTTTCGGGATCAGTGCCCCTGGGGGTCTGTGAACCCGCCTTGTGGTGGATCAGGGTTGTCAACGGTGTTTCTGCTGCCCGCACGAAACCATGTTGTACCACAGTCTGGCTGTCAGGTTTCTGACTTTTAGGTCCCCGTCCGTGCCTTCTTTAAGACGTCGGGGGGGATGATTTCCCCTCCTTATGTATGTGGGAGGCAGTTGAACGAATGGGCCCTGCATTAAGTTTTGTAAGTTTCCTAGTGCTATGTTTTCAAAATTTACATGCGGTTCTTATAGTCAGTTTTGGGTCAAATTTTACCCCCGGTGTCGCCTCAAACCCCAGTCTACACTCTCCCTTCATTCTTCCTTTCCATCATTATCACAGGTGCCTAAAGACCCTAATTTTTGTGTTTTTTTTTGGAGCAAATGTAACCTGCATCATTTCCTTTTAGGGGTGATGTAGATGGGGAAGTGATGATTTTTGTAATTAGGCAGCTGACATTTCCTCTCTAGAAAGTAAATGTCGAGTCATTCTCAGTATTCATTTGGGATGAGTTTAAGGGGAGAGGGAAAAGAGAGGAGGGAAAAAAAAAAAGAGAAAGAGAAAAGAGAGAGAGAGAAAAAGGAAGGCAGAAATAAAGAAAATACGACCCGTGTCAGTCCCGTCAAACACTGTTAAGATTCCTGGGGACTAATTTTCCCAAAAAAGATGATAGTTTATCAATATACTCATTCTTTCTGTATATGTCATTGGATTGAAACATTTTCATATTCAAGACTTGCATTTTAAAAAGTATCTTTGTTTTTATCCAAGTTGTCGCGTTAACCTATTATTCCCTTTACATGGCCCTCATTTTTTTTTAAGGCTCGAAAATCATTTTTTCGAAATCGTTTTTTTCTCAAAACATTGACTCACAAATCGTCATTTGATGCAAATAGTTGTTCATCTGGGTGCATGCATGGCCCCAAACCCCCTCACTTATTCCCAGCCAGTGTCCTTTTTTTATCAATGATGAGGTGTCCCCCCGGGGTTTATCGATGCATTTATAAAAAGTGGCCCCGCTACCCGGGCGCATGCATACCCTACAATTCCCCTTCCGGACGCTTTGTTTTGCAAAAAAATTTTTCCTGCTACGCCCAAAAACCCGCTCACCGCCCTTTGTCCGAGACGCGTCCAATGTGCGGCCTGAGCCACGCTCACATGTTCCGTCGGTGGCATTGTTTACCACCCAGCCTCCGCGGTAACATCCAAGCATACAATCGGAACATTTCGTATTATTACAGTGTTTTTGGTGATTTTTTCTGGAAAATAAGTGACCATGGGCCCCAAGAAGGCTTCTAGTGCCAACCCTACAGCAATAAGGGTGAGAATTACTATAGAGATGAAGAAAAAGATCATTGATAAGTATGAAAGTGGAGTGCGTGTCTCCGAGCTGGCCAGGTTGTATAATAAACCCCAATCAACCATTGCTACTATTGGTGGTACAGCTGCTGCTGCTGCTGTACCACCGTCAGCTGCTGCTGCACTGTCAGCTGCTGCTGCACTGTCAGCTGTTGCTGCTGTACCACCGTCAGCTGCTGCTGCTGCTGTAGTACAATCTGCTGCTGCTGTAGCATCGTCTGCTGCTGCTGTAGCATCATCTGCTGCTGCTGTAGCATCGTCTGCTGCTGCTGTAGCATCGTCTGTTGCTGCTGTAGCATCGTCTGTTGCTGCTGTACCACCGTCAGCTGCTGCTGCTGCTGTAGCATCGTCTGCTGCTGCTGCTGCTGTAGCATCGTCTGCTGCTGCTGTAACATCGTCAGTTGCTGCTGTAGCATCGTCTGCTGCTGCTGTAGCATCGTCTGTTGCTGCTGTAGCATCGTCTGTTGCTGCTGTACCACCGTCAGCTGCTGCTGCTGCTGTAGCATCGTCTGCTGCTGCTGCTGCTGTAGCATCGTCTGCTGCTGCTGTAGCATCGTCAGTTGCTGCTGTAGCATCGTCTGCCGCTGCTGTAGCATCGTCTGTTGCTGCTGTAGCATCGTCTGTTGCTGCTGTACCACCGTCAGCTGCTGCTGCTGCTGTAGCATCGTCTGCTGCTGCTGCTGCTGTAGCATCGTCTGCTGCTGCTGTAGCATCGTCAGTTGCTGCTGTAGCATCGTCTGCCGCTGCTGTAGCATCGTCTGTTGCTGCTGTAGCATCGTCTGTTGCTGCTGTACCACCGTCAGCTGCTGCTGCTGCTGTACCACCGTTGTTGGTGTGGCTTATTGAGAATACCAAGAAACAATTAACCCCAGAGGATTTGCCACCCAGGATAACCCAAAAAAGTCAGTGTCATCGAAGACTGTCTAACTTATTTCCATTGGGGTCCTTAATCTTGTCTCCCAGGATGCAACCCACACCAGTCGACTAACACCCAGGTGAACAGGGAAAATGCCTGGAACTAGTGCTCATATTGGTGAATTTAGAGCCAGCAAAGGTTGGTTTGAGAGATTTAAGAATCGTAGTGACATACACAGTGTGATAAGGCCTGTTCTGGAAGAAAATACCAAACAGGACCTACAGTACTCAGGAGGAAAAGGCACTCCCAGGACACAGTGTCTCATCAGTCATTGCTGCATCTTCAATAAAGGTAAGTGTCATTTATTCTTCATTTAGTAGAGTAGTACATGCACAATATATATTGTGCATGTACTACTCTACTATTGTGCATGTATCCTTCTCTTTGTGTGTAGGAAAATGTATATTTCATGTGGTAAAATTTTTTTTTTCATACTTTTGGGTGTCTTGCACGGATTAATTTGATTTCCATTATTTCTTATGGGGAAAATTCATTCGCATACCGAACGTTTCGCATAACAGCCAGCCCTCTTGCATGGATTAAGGTCGCTATGCGGGGGTCCACTGTACAGTGGACCCCTGGTTTACGATATTATTTCATTCCAGAAGTATGTTCAGGTGCCATTACTGAACGAATTTGGTCCCATAAGGAATATTGTGAATTAGATTAGTCCATTTCAGACCCCCAAACATACACGTACAAACGCACTTACATAAATACACTTACATAATTGGTCGCATTGGGAGCTGATCGTAAAGCGGGGGTCCACTGTATTCCATTCATTTTAGTGCTTGCAACCCCTAAATAAGTCACCATGGCTCAAAAGAAAGCTTCTAGTGCCAGCCCTTTGGTAAAGAATGTGAGAAATACATATAATTTAAGAAAAAATTTGTAGAAAAATAAGGTGGTGGTTGTGGTAGAGTGGTAGCAGTTGTGATAGTGGTAGAGGGTGGTAGCAGTTGTGATAGTGGTAGAGGGTGGTAACAGTTGTGATAGTGGTAGAGGGTGGTAGCAGTTGTGATAGTGGTAGAGGGTGGTAGCAGTTGTGATAGTGGTGGAGGGTGGTAGCAGTTGCGATAGTGGTGGAGGGTGGTAGCAGTTGCGATAGTGGTAGAGGGTGGTAGCAGTTATGATAGTGGTAGAGGGTGGTAGCAGTTGTGATAGTGGTAGAGGGTGGTAGTGATGGTGGTAGAGTTTGGTAGTGGTTGTGATGGTGGTAGAGGGTGGTAGTGGTTGTGATGGTGGTAGAGGGTGCCTTCTTCAGTGATTCTGCTAACCCCTCCAATGTTGTTGGAGTTATATAGGGCTACAGAAAACACCGGTGTCTCTGCTGCTGCTTCACCACCATTATGGATGGCTTATGCTCTCAGTGGCCCTTATACACCCAACAACAACAGAACACCTCTTGTGACATACATAATGACTTATTTTATTCATTCTTGAGTATATTCCACGTTTCTATGTTATTAATATTGTTTATGTCATATTAGTTGAATTGTGATAGATAAATAAGCCATAGAGTTGACATTAGTGTTAGAAAACATCTTATCTCCCTGATCCACCCCGACAACTAACTACATGATAACCACCTGGTGGTTCACAATTACACTCACCCACTGACTATAAACCCAGAAATACTAATCTTAATCTTAAAATAATAAATCCTAACTAGTCATAAGTTTGCCTGTGATACTCCAATATAAACACTTTGTATTGTGCCAAAACAAAAGCATTCACATTGCTAAACTCACAAATTATGATGTAGTCACTTATCTGTAATACCATAATCTGTAAGGATTTAATGTTAAGAATTAATCTAAGTCTGCTCGAAATGCTTAGCCAGGCTAGGTGTCCTAGTGGCCCCCTCTGTAATTAGTATTTTATAACATGTAAACCACACAATACCCAAAACCTGTAAACCCCACATTGTAACCCTTAAAGAGAATAAACTTGAATTGAATTGAATTGAATTGAATATTCTCCAACAATAAACTCGCCTCCCCTCCCCCTGCCACGTCTGCCATACACCAACAAGAGTCTTCAGTAAAGTAAAGTGTGATGTTAAATGTTCATTTATACATTTTAGTAGTTCTTTACATTTATTTGGCATTCTTTTCTGCATGTAAATCTATATTTAAGCTAGGGAAGTGACCCCTGAAGTGACCTTGAGTCCTTATGGAGGGGGGTACCTCTTCCAAACAATAACCTCTCTTCCCTCTCTCCTCCTCCGTGTCTTACATTCATCAACAACAGCCTTCAATAAAGGTAACTGTCATATTGAATGTTCATTCGTTTGTGGATGTAAATCTATCTTTAAGGTAAAACAAAAAATTTGTTGATACTTCTGGGTGTCTGGAACGAATTAATTGGATTTACCTTATTTATGGAGAAAATGGATTCGCAAATCGTCAATTTTGATAATAGTCACACTCTCTGGAATGGATTAATTACGAAAAACGAGGGTCCACTCTATTTATTGTGTTATTTGTATGTTCTTTAAACTGGTTTCTTACAATGTTTTATCATCTTTTCCAGGCGAGTGTGTCTACACCACATGACAGCTGTATACATCACCACATGACAGCTGCATACACCCTACCACATGATAGCTGCATACACTCCACCATATGACAACTGCATACATTCCACCTGACAGCTGCAACCACTCCACCACATGACAGCTGCATACACTCCACCACATGGATAAGGTAGATGGCTGGCAAATGATTTTTATGACTTAAAACTTGTGAAAGTGTGCACTGGAAGTAAACAATTCAAGTCACTGTAAAAAAAGGAACAATATCAGTTTCCCCAGTCTTGAAAAATGTAAACATTATTCACATAAATTCATAAAGAGTAACATACCAATTTTCATTGCTTAAAAAATTGTACATAAAATCTGCAGAGTAGGACCACATCAGTGTTAAGTGTGTAAAACAATGTAAAATAGTATCTGCATTAATAGCATATGTGAAAGATCATACCATAAGTTGTCATCTCTGGTAACAGATATGGAAACTCATACAGAAGTAAAACCATATACAGAAGAGAAAACATATGAATCACAAAAACCATATCAGGCAGAAGAGAAGCTATGTCAAAGAGAAGAGAAAACTTATGAAACAGAAGAGAAACATGAAACAGAGGACCGACAGTGTCATACAGAAGGGAATCAATATCAAACAGAAAAGAACATTTATCGAACAGAGGAAGACCCATATCACTGTTCAGTGTGTCGAAAAGACTTTGAAGGCAAATCAGATTTCATATTGCATCTGAGAAATCATGGAAAAGAGAAGACATACCAGTGTTCAGTTTGTTTTAAAGGATTTTCAAGACGGTTTCAATTAGTAACACATTCAAAAATTCATACAGGTGAGAAACCATATCAGTGCATAGTGTGTTTGAAAGAGTGTACACAAAAATCAAATCTATTAAGTCATTTGAAAGTTCATACAGGAGAGAAACCATTTAAGTGTTTACAGTGTCCAAAAGACTTTTCAAGAAAATCTGCTTTAGTAATACACATGAGAATTCATACAGGAGAGAAACCATATCAGTGTCCAGTATGTGTGAAAGGTTTTTCAGAAAAAACTAATCTTGTAAAACATATGAGGACTCATACACAAGAGAAGAATTATCGATGTTTAGAGTGTTTCAAAAACTTTACACAAAAAATTTCCTTAGAAACTCACATGAGAATTCATACAGGAGAGAAACCACATCAGTGTTTTGAGTGTCAAAAATGTTTTTCTCGGAAATCAGATCTGGTAAGACACATGAGAGTTCATACAGGAGAGAAACCCCATCGATGTACAATGTGTGTCAAAGCATTTGCAAATAAATCACATTTAATAAATCATTTAAATGTTCATAAAAGAGAATCCATTTAGAGTTGATTGTGTCTAAAAATAACAAATCTGGATTTGTATATGACATGAGGGTACAGGTAGTAATGATACCAGGGATCAGCGTGTGTAAAAGACTTATATTCCAGTAATTCTAGTAAAGCAAGTAGGCTCATACAGGTGGTATAATTATACTGGTACATTATTGTTTTATAAAGACTACACAAAGCTAATCAGGTAAAACAAGCTATTCAATATATTAAACCTTTTTCTCTACATATAGCACATAAATGTGACTATATATTTATTCCCATTAACTGTATAAGTATTTATGGCACTTCTGCCAGAAAAAATCATAAATAGTCCTCTGTTTTCTTCAAATGCCATTTAAGTCATGAGATAATGACTCAGTGGATGCTTCCATCTAGCAGCCAGAGAGTGAAATGTGCTCACCTCAGCACTGCCACTGGCAGTACCCACACTGCCAGGGTATATTTTATATTCATACTATAAATATAAGTTGTGGAAAATGTTTTTTTCATTCAGCCATTAACAATAACTTATTTTACTTCATTATATATTGGTTATTAAATGATATACTGGTGTTTCTATACTTAACTGATCATACATTAGAGTGATTAATTTTGTGTTGCACAAAGTATGTGTGCAACATCATTATGAAAGGCTGAAGGCAGCAGAGACTGTGATCAGTATTGTTTCAACTTTCAAACAGGTTGGTCATGTTGATGAAGTATCTTATATTGTGGCAGTTTATAAGTGTAACTGGTATTGTCTGGTTGTTTCATAAGTGAAAAAAACACCACCTTGAAGTGTTGAATGGATTCACTGAACTGACAAATTAATAGGAGTAATTACCATCTGTGTATAAATTCTGTGGCCATCATTGGTCAAGGTTTAAAGATCATAAACAAAGGGTCATGGTAGGTACTATGACCACCCAGCTGGACGCCAATCAGTGGGCTTGCACCAAAAGTGTGCAATACCAAACATCTCTAGATGATAGCTTTTGAAGAGTGAGGATGCATTGGTAAGCCCATGACAATTAGGCAAAGCATTGTTTTCACACTATATGATAAATCCATTGTATGTATAAAGTTTAACTGTGCAACATCAATGTAGAATAGAAAATTTAATGTGTTATATTTTCAGTATTTGTCCAGCTGAAGCCTCAAAACTTTGTATATCCACACTAAGCAAAGAGATTCTTTATATCACGATTAAATATCTTATAAGTAGTATATATTCCTAGTTAATGGTTAGTTTATCAACATGCCCACATATAATCAATAAAACTTCTATACAATTGGGAATGCCTCAAGCCTTTGGATGGCTCTGCATGGAGCAGAGACAAGAGTGACATCTGATAATACATGGATGATACCTGAGGGCCTTCTCTTTAACCTGCACTGCTGTAACAACTTACCTAAATGAAAGATATGGGAGAAAGTGTGTATTGAACCCAATTAGAGAGCAGTGGGGCCATGGGTGCAAATGACTGCCACCATGCATGACTCAAGACTCAACATATTACCAGCAGTACTGGAAATATTACCAGAATAAGGAAAGGAACTTTCAAGAAGTAGCTACACAGCTTTCTTCTACAGCTAGGTTGTGATGGCTATGTGAGTTCGCAGGTCGCTAGCATAAACAGCCGGATCTGATTAAGGGTTTGGTCAAGCGTTGGTGTGACCAGAAATTCTGGCAACCCTTCACTTGGTCCACCACAACTCAGTACAGTGGACCCTTGGTTATCAGCCGTAATCTGTTCCAGAAGGTCAGCCTAAAACCAAAATGGCCAAAAACCAAAATAATATTTCCCATAAGAATTAATGTAAATCCAATTAATCTGTTTCAGAAACAAAAATATTTAAAAAAAAAAATACATTTTTTAAAGATTAACTATAGCTTTACATACACAAAACAATGAGAACTAAATAAAATGACTAATGAAATGGATAAATGAACATTTAAATCACTTTTACCTTTATTGAAGAATCTTGATGGCATATGCAAAACGGTGAGGAGTGGAGAGGGAGGCGAGTTTATTGCTTAAATATGACACTATTATCAACTCTTCTGCTTATTCACATATCACAATTCATCTAATTTGACATAATAATCAATATTAATAATATAGAAACATGATATATATTCTAGAATGAATAACATATGTCATTACATATGTGGAGTGGTGGTGGTGTTGGGTTTATAAGGGCCACTGAAAGCATAAGCCATACATATTTGTGGTAGTGGAGGCAGCAGCAGAGGCCACCACCACTATTCACACAAACAATGTACGTAATTTATAAATAAGAAACGTTTACACTTTAATTTATAAATAAGAAATATTTGCACATTATAAATAAAAAATATTTACATTTATCATGGAGGAGATGCTGGCAGTGCAGCGTATATTGTCAGTGGCCCTATATACCTCCAAAAACATTGGAGGAGACAGTTTCGTGTCGTCCTTTTTCTATCGCTTAATCGCTTAACTTACTTGCTACACTGTTAATGCTACACTTTATCGCTGGCTGATGCTATAGCCTTTATCGACTCCTGCTGCTTTAGTATCATACATATCGTAGAATCACTGAATAAGGCACATTCTCCCCTCTCTCTTCCTCCTTCACTCTCATACTTTTCAACAACTTCTTTCTTAAATTTCATCGTGTTTCTCACTTTCTTTGCCAAAGCAACTTTGCTAGGATCTTTCTTTGGGCCCATGGCTGCATATTTTGCAGTTGCACTCGAATCAATAACCACAAAAAACAATGGATTATAATGAAATGTTTGGATGCGCAGAGGCTTCCTCACTAGCCCAGAGAGACAGCCAGACTGACTCATGACCACGTCCAATACAGCCAATAACTGAAATAGTGTAACGGCCGATAACCGGGATAGAATTTTGGCCAAAAAAAAAAAAGGGTGAAAACCGAATTGGCTCATATCTGAACAGCCAATAACCAAGGGTCCACTGTATGTGCCTGAACACTATGCTGGGAGGGAAGGAAATGAGTCTCATTCATGGTTTTCAACTACAGGCAGGCCCTGTTTATACAGCAGGATAGGTTCTGGGCTTCTTCTGTAAAACGAAAGCACTGTAAAGTAAAACAGCCGCCGCCGCCTTCTTTTTTTCACTTTCACATGCATATTAAAGCCTGATAACATGTTTACACTATCATATATTAAGTGAGCAATATCTCTAGACTGAAAAATTACCTATGCAGTACACACACATTACTTACCTTAAAATATTGTCCTTAGCTCATGAGTGGTGAATATTTTTATTGTAGGAAGTCTGAATAAATGAAGAATGGGTATAATTGAAAACTGCTGTATTAGTGAAATGCTGTAAGGCGGGGCATGTCTGTAATGTACTAATAGGTATTACATCTGTAGTTCTTAACTACTACATGTATCTACCAAATGTGAGCTCTGTATACATGTTGGAAAAAAAAAAAAAAATATATATATATATACAGTGGACCCCCGGTTAACGAACTTTTTTCATTCCAGTAGTATGTTCAGGTGCCAGTACTGACCGAATTTTTTCCCATAAGGAATATTGTGAAGTAGATTAGTCCATTTCAGACCCCCAAACATACACGTACAAACGCACTTACATAAATACACTTACATAATTGGTCGCATTTGGAGGTGATCGTTAAGCGGGGGTCCACTGTATATATATATATATATATATATATATATATATATTTTTTTTTTTATTTATTTTATTATCACACCGGCCGATTCCCACCAAGGCAGGGTGGCCCGAAAAAGAAAAACTTTCACCATCATTCACTCCATCACTGTCTTGCCAGAAGGGTGCTTTACACTACAGTTTTTAAACTGCAACATTAACACCCCTCCTTCAGAGTGCAGGCACTGTACTTCCCATCTCCAGGACTCAAGTCCGGCTTGCCGGTTTCCCTGAATCCCTTCATAAATGTTACTTTGCTCACACTCCAACAGCACGTCAAGTATATATATATATATATATTAATATATATATATATATATATATATATATATATATATATATATATATATATATATATATATATATATATACATATATATATATACATATATATATATATATATATACAGCAGGGCCCCGCTTTACGGCGTTTCACTTTACGGCATTCCGCTAATACGGTCATTTCAAATTATGACCAAAACTCGCTATACGGCTCCCCCCACCTGACTTTCTAATACGGTCACCGCGCCCCACCCTGTTTGTTTACATTCTTCGTGAGCTCAGTAAGCACTAAGTCTCTCCATTTTGTCTGGAAACTCCAAAATTTCAAACGTTTTTAAAAGTTATTTCATATTTTATGTGTACTCTGATAATTATACTTATGTATACCTGTACTTAAATAAACTTACATACTGTGCTGGCATGCAGGTACACATTAAAATCAGTAAGAGTGTCTTATGTCTCCAGACGTCATATTAGTAATGATAATAATAATCATCGAGTCTCATTTAAATGTCGTATATTACGTTAAATACACATTTTCATTAATCCATCTATGATATTTTTTCAAAATTATATAATAAACACGATACATAACATAAAAAGTCGATAAATACACCGCACAATAGAATAAATAAACATAAATATGAGATGTGGTAGCAGACGACTTGCACAAGTGACGCCATATTAGAAATGATAATACATAATAATAATAATAATCACCGAGTCTCATTAAATGTTGTATATTACTTTAATATACACATTTTCATTAATCCATCCGTGATATTTTTTTCAAAATTATATAATAAACACGATACATAACATAAAAAGTGGATAAATACACCGCACAATAGAATAAATAAACATAAATATGAGATGTGGTAGCCAGATAACTTGTACAAGTGATGCCAAGAATAACATTTTCTCTAATCTAACAAGAGAAAATGTGTTACTGGGGGTAACTGTAGAAAATTACAGTGGACCCCCGGTTAACGATATTTTTTCATTCCAGAAGTATGTTCAGGTGCCAGTACTCACCGAATTTGTTCCCATAAGGAATATTGTGAAGTAGATAAGTCCATTTCAGACCCCCAAACATACACGTACAAACGCACTTACATAAATACACTTACATAATTGGTCGCATCGGGAGGTGATCGTTATGCGGGGGTCCACTGTATTCCTTTCGTATGTATGTAAGTTTATTCAGGTATGCACAAATACAGTTACATAGATTATCATACATAACAACATATGTGTAGAGAACTTAGGATAACCCAAAAAAGTCAGAGTGACTTATTTCCATTGCCTTCACTCAGAGCATCATTTCTTCTCAAAATGATGTTACATGAGAATGGGAGTGTTCTTCTTTATTTATTCTACCGTATCAATGTAGAGACAACCTGTACACAATGTAACTTGTACACAAACCAGACGTGTACACTGTTTGTTTACAAAACTTACCTTCGCCTGGTTTGTTTACATAACTCTGCGCCTGACCTCTCTCATGCACTCATTCTTTCTCTCTCTCATTTATTCGTTTTATCTCATTTACTTACTCCTGACCCTATATTAAGACTACAAATATTTTAAGGTAAGTAATGAGTGAACTGTATATACATTTTATCGCTCTGGGATGCTTAAATGTAATAGAATATTATGTGTGGGTGGGTTGGCCTGGTATGGTAGCCCGGCTGACTACCATACATACCACACTTGATTTTTTACAATAAATACTACTCATCTCACCCTATATTTTAAGGTAAGTAATGAGTGAACTGTATATACATTTTATCACTCTGGGATGCTTAAATATCATAGAATAGTATGTGTGGGTGGGGTGGCATGGTATGGTAGCCTGGCTGACTACCATACATACCACACTTGATTTCTTACAATAAATACTACTTGTCTTACCCTAGATTAAGACTATAAATATTTTAAGATAAGTAATGAGTGCACTATGTGTGTATTGTACTTTTTTATTGTTTTTTGATGCCTGGTTCTATTGCTAACTTAATATATGTTAGTGTAAACTTGTTATCTAGTGTTTGTATGCCTTTATAAGTGGAAAAAAAGGGTGTTCCACTTTACGGCGGTAGCCTGGAACCTAACCATCCGTGTAAGTGGGGCCCTACTGTATATATATAATATATATATATATATATATATATATATATATATATATATATATATATATATATATATATATATATATATATATATATATATAGTCGTATGAGGCGACTAAAATGCCGGGAGCAATATATATATATATATATATATATGTATATATAAATATATATATATATAGTCGTATGAGGCGACTAAAATGCCGGGAGCAATGGGCTAGTAACCCCTTCTTCTGTAGACATTTACTAAAAAAGAGAAGAAGAAAAA